GCAGATGCCTCCGCTAACTGTGCCCGGCTCCCGACCCACAGAAACTGTGAGATAACAAATGTGTTGCTTTTAGTCACTAAGTTTGCAGTGATGGTGTTACGTGACAACAGATAACAGAATCCTTGTGAAAACCCACTTTTTCCAAATCAAAAACACCTGACAAAAAATAAAAACTTATTTTTCTATTATCTGTCTTCTCAATAAATTTATAAAAACTAGGGATCTAACAGGGTGTTTTAAGACTATGACGAGAGAGTTTGTGAGCTGGGTGACTAGCAGAACTTTTCCTCCAGAGACTCCCATTGTAACTACCTACCAGAGGCATTTCCTGACCCGTTACTGAAGGGGCACAGTTCCACCTGTCAAGTGCACACTGCCTTTTAGGAAGCAAATCTACACAGAATAAAGGAGAAAGCTCTTCAATGATTAACTTTTTGTCTTTTGTTACTATTCCCACCACCAGCATCATCCCCCTAAAACACTACGTATGTAGTCCCACACCCAAAAATACTTACCAGTTACTTTATTCGTAACTTCTATAAGACACACAAGCAACAGATGCTTGAATATAAGTGGAGTGAAGTGTTAAGTGCGATTATATCTTAATTAAGAAACTGCATTTATAACAGTGTTTGCACTGTTTGTCAATACTCTCAATTATTTCATCTCAATATAATTACTCAATTATATCTCACTCACTTACTCTGGAGAAAAGAAACAAACAACTTATTGGCCCAGACTTACAAATTTAAAATAAAAACTACTTTGCTAGTGAAAAAAGTGTTCCAAACATTTCAGTCACATTTATGAGCATATGTCACAGCTTTTACTATTATACCACGTCATGAACATATATACAAAGATTCACTAACCTTTGCCCCCTAAGAGTTTACATACTTCTATGGCAGTACCATATATATAGTCAAAAACACTTCTTGCCCTGGGAGGTTTGGTTCAGTGGTTAGAACATTGGCCTGCAGACAGAGGGTCTCGGGTTTGATTCCTGGTCAAGGGCACTTACCTGGGTTGCAGGTTCGATACCGTCCCCATCAGGGAACATGCAGGTGGCAACCAAATGATGTCTCTCTCATCAATGTTTCTCTCTCTCTCTCTCCCTCCCTCTTAAAAAATAAATCAATGGAAAAAATATCCTCAGGTGAGGATTCACAAAAAAACTTAGAAAACAAAAACAAAAAAACACTTCTCTTGTCCACCATACACAATAAGCAAATACAGTCATCCAGTATCATTAGGGGATGGGTTCCAGGACTCCCAGGGCTACCAAAATCCGTGGATACTCAAATCCCTTACATAAAATGCCATAGTATTTACATATAACCTATACTGGCATAAAGACCACAGCAGGGTATGCCTAGACATCATTTCATTTGGGAGGACTCAACATAGTACTGGGTGCATGTCAAACTCAAGTTTTGCTGCTTTCTGGAATTTTCTGGGATTTTAATTTTTTGCTAATATTTCTATCTGCAGTTGGTTGAACCTGCAGATATGGAGGGCTGACTGTACTGTGTACAGGTTCGATGACTCGAGAGCTAAGGCTGAAGCACAGGCACTGTGGAGGAGCCCATGTCTTTTGAAGTTACTTACAGCTGATGAGATCTAAGGGAAAGTCTGACAGCAGTGCCTGGGGCAAGGAAGTGTTACATTGAAAAACAAGGGCTAAGGGAGCAGCAGCTCAGTCATCACTGAATGCAAGGAAAGTGAGGGAAAGCTGGACTCCACTTGTTCGTAGGCAGGAGCTTCCACACACAATTTAAGTTTTATAGAATAATTTTGCTACATTTCATTTTCAAACTTAGTCTTAAGAATAACACCAAAGTAACAAATGACAGAAAGGTTCATAAATATTACTCACTCTTTTCACTCTCTCTCCAATTCTTAGACTCCACTAAATCACCTGAATGCATAGCAGACATAATCTTCTGAGCAACACTGGAAAGTGGCATCTGACAGAGATCAAAGCCTACAAATGCCTCATAATTTTCCATTTTCATAAAATCCTAAACATAAGATAAACATAATACCTATATATTAATTTTGAGCCTTCAAAATAAGAAACAAGAAATCTGAAATTTTTTATGTACTGACTTTCATAAAAATTTTTATATTAAAAACCACAAGAAGTAGATATAAACTGTCCCATTTACATATAGGAGCGTAAGAAGAAAGTAATGGTTAGAGCAGGGGTGGGCAAACTTTTTGACTTGAGGGCCACAATGGGTTCTTAAACTGGACCGGAGGGCCAGAACAAAAGCATGGATGGAGTGTTTGTGAGAACTAATATAAATTCAAAGTAAACATCATTACATAAAAGGGTACGGTCTTTTTTTTTTTTAGTTTTTTTAATAACATAAAAGGGAACGGTCTTTTTTTTTCTTAGTTTTATTCATTTCAAATGGGCTGGATCCGGCCCGAGGGCCGTAGTTTGCCCACGGCTGGGTTAGAGGCTCATTTGGGGTATTATCTATATATATAAAAGCCTAATATGCAGTGTCCCCTCGGGAGTTCAACCTACCAGGAGTACGATCACACACTATGACATGCGCTGACCACCAGGGGGCGGCACAGAATGAAGGAAGGCCCAAGCCAGCAGCCGGCAGCCAGGGAAAGGAAGCCCGGACTGGCAGCCGGCAGGGACCCTACCTGTGCATGAATTTCATGCACTGGGCCTGTAGTGATATATAAGTAACAAAGAACGTATTTTCTAGTTAATCAATTGTGAAGCAATTTACTCTAATACTTCCTAGTTTCAGTTATTATAGTCTTCAAATATACAAATCTAATAACATAGTTATTTTTAACTGACTGGCATGATGACACACCACCTGACATCCTTTCACTCCCTCTGCTCAGCTATACTGGGCCCCTTGGGCTGAGAACATGAAGGTCTGGAAGCCACAGAACAAATCACCAAATAGCTGGTTGGTCATCTAACATATTTGGCACTAATCTTAACAATTTATTTCATTAACCAGGAAACAGGTGACATACTTTTCCATATTGCTGGAAAAAAGAAAATTTTTCATTATCTAGTCCAAGGTAGGATCGGGGGAAAATGTTTTTCAAGCGTATTAAGATTTACTTCATAAATTTTAAATAATGTACAAATACAATAATTGGCCAAACAGTTTTGTTCAACCCATTACAAAAATTATCAGGGCTCATCTGTCACCTCTGCAACCCATTTTCTGATAGTTATGGTTGAAAATTCCATAAAGATCACATTATAGGTTTTTAGATATCAAGAGCAGGTCATTCTTAAGTAATATCTGTATCTTTCTATAAAACTCACATGGTATATAAGAGAGGCCATGTATAAATCAGACATTAAAGAAGCATTTGATGCAATAACTGATAAGCTACTTCAAATTATTTCATACCAACTCTTAACTTCTATTTGTTCAAATACTGTATACTTGTATCCTATTACAGTCCAACATTGTTTTCACACCAAAGAAACTAATTAAAATAGCATTATGCACCTGTCCTGGTGGGTGTGGCTCAGTGGTTAAAGCCTCGCCTGCACAAGGAGAGGGGGGAGCTCAGGTTTGATTCCTGGTCAAGGGCATGTACCTGGGTTGCAGGTTTAATCCCCACTGCCAGTAGCTGCGTGTGTCGGAGGCAACTAATCGATGTGTCTCTGTCACCTCATTTCTCCCTCTCTCCCTGCCTCCCTCCCTTCCACTCTCTCTAGAATCAGTGGGAAAAATACCCTCACTCCTTGGGTGAGGATTGTTTTAAAAAAGCATTATGCATCCTTTGAGCAAGCACTTCTAAGGAATTTTGAAATTTCATTTGAAAGTCATTCATGTGTAAGTCACACTGAAGTTAAAGCAGTGCTGAAATGTCTGGCAGAAATTCTGAGGCCCCAGGACCCAGTCTGTAAAATGAACAATGGGCCAAGGAGACTTGACATTTGCTGTGGTCTAAGTAAGAACATTAAGTCTCAAAGTCTATAGTAGAAAATGATGAGGGAATACAGTCAGATTGGCAGAATTTTACTTTACAGTCAAATATAGACTTAGCTATCCCATATATTAAGCTTACAGCTTTAACAATGCTGATTCAAAGTTCTACAAAATTTAAAAACATTTAACAGCAGAATATTTCTATTTCTAAAAAAATTAATAAAGTATACAACTCTATTAAAAAAAACACAGAACCCTATACACACTTTTTCCTTTACGGTACATACATTTTCACTTAAAGGAAGAATTGTATGGCTTCTCTTTGGCCATACAATTGCCAGCATCACTACGCTTGCACTTTGAGGCTATTATTAAGTAAAGTAAGGGTGACTTGGACATAAGCACTGTAACTGCTGATCCGATAAGCAAGACAGTTAAGTGACTAACAGGCAGGTAGCATTCAGGGTAGACATGCTGAAAAAAAGGATGATTCACGTCCCAGACTAGACAGAGCAGGTGGGCGTGAAATCTCATCACACTATTCAGAACAGCACATAATTTAAAACTTATGAACTGGCCTAACTGGCGTAGCTCAGTGGTTGAGCATTGACCTATGAACAAGGTCACGGTTCAATTCCTGGTCAGGGCACATGCCTGGATTGTGGGCTTGAACCCTGGTGAGGGATGCAGGAGGTAGCTGATTAATGGTTCTCTCTCATCATCGATGTTTCTCTCTCTCTCTACCTTCATCTCTAAAATCAATAAAAATATGTGTATTTTTAAAAATAACAAAAAAACTTATGAACTGTTTATTTCTGAAATTTTCCACATGTATTTGCAGACTATAGTTGACTGCAGGTAACTGAAACAGCAGAAAGCAAAACTGCAGATAAGGGGACAGCTACTGTAATGTGTTTTTCTTGTAAGTACAAAGTTACCAGGACCAAGTGGCACCAAGCAAATATTCAAGTCATATTAAGCACTGACTCTGAACAAACATGTTATAGAAAGAAAAAAAAAAACTGATATAATACTTGAATTCATTAAATTAAATGTTCCATTGACCTCGAATTTAAATTCTTAGTGTTTATTAGCTATATTCTCCTCCTGATATGTAAAACATTAAAACATAGCCTATGTAGTAAAGATTCAGTATGTAGTAATTTTCATTCTTTGAGATCAGCAGCCTTAATCTTTGATTGGTTTTCTAAATTTTCCACGATCTCTTTCAGATAATCTTCATCTTTACAAAAATATACATATAATTCTCTTTCCATTTGATGCAGTTTATTAGATGCCAAAATTTTTCTTTTTGTCTTTACATCAGCAAGAATATCAGTGAGAAGATGATTTAGCTTATTCAGTTGAGACTCAACTTGATGAAACTGCTCCGTTAACTCCTAAAAGGAAAATTAAAATGCTTTTAATGCAAGAGCTCTATTTGCAACACCAGTTATAAATTTAAAATGGAACTTATATGAAAAAAATATAAATGATGTAATCATTCCCACCATTTTAACAGTAAATGACCCTCAATTAAAAATCCATAGGTTTAATATAAATTTTACGTAAGATCAATTGCAGCAACTCCTGACAGGCAATTTTAAGTGATTCAAAGCAAACTCTTACTCTCTGAAGAGTATCTGTTATGTAAAAACTGTTCTGCATACTCATACGTTCAACAAATACTAGTATTCTTGAATGCCTGCCATGTTCCAAGTACTGTTTTAACTCTGGATTGTAAGAAAGAACACATCTCCTTCATGGAGCTTACATTCTGATTAATCAAACCTTGTTTTAACCTAATCTGTTTATTCTAGACATTAAGAGGAACTGAGAAAGCCTTGAAATAAAGGAATACCAATGAAAAAGAATTACCTCAACAAAAATCTCCATTTTTTCCTTTTTTTCAAATTGTTGTAGAAGATAAAACTACACGATACTCAACAATCCTTCTCACTTCCTAACATTAAAAGCAGCTTATTACCAAGTTTCCATGGCGTTCTAACCAAGTATCTACTCCTATGAACTTACAGCCAGTATTACCTACCAAAGAGGTTCTCAGAAAACCTGTAGCTCTACCTCCCTCATAACCTTCCACAGGTTCTCAGCATGGTTATAACCTGCGGTACTTGTTATGAATACAGATTCCTATACCTCACTCCACACCAAATTACTCAAACTCTGGCCCTGGCCCGTTTGGTCGGTAGTTAGAGTGTCAGCCCACAGATGAAGAACTGCAGGTTCAATTCCCGGTCAAGGGCACATACTTTGGTTGCAGGTACCTGGCCCCAGTCCGGGCAAGAGCAGAGGCAACCAAATGATGAGTCTCATGTCAAAGTGTCTCTCTCTCTCTCTCTCTCTCTCTCTCTCTTCCCCCCTCCTCCCTCTCTGTCACTCTCTCTCAAAATCAATGGAAAAAATATCCTCAGATGAGGATTAAAAAAAAAAAAAAAAAAAGTAAATTACTCAAACTCTGCAACAGGACCAGGAAGCTACATTTCAATAGGCTCCCTGGTAATTCTAATGTACAAGTTCAAGAATGACAGCTTAACATGTCATAAATATCAGACAGCAATACTTAAATTACATTTTTAAAAAATCAAGTAGTACCTACATTAAGTGGTTTCCTTTGGAGGTAAAATTTGGTAAACCTTAATACAATGAGAAACAATCTCACCTTTAATTTCAATACTAAAGATCCTAATAACAATTGCTAAAAAAATACTCCAATAAATACTGAAAATGTTCAACTTCATTAACAATAAAAATGTAAGTTAAAATGGATGGCATTTTGTACCTCACTGGGCTAGGGAAAAACACTGAATCATGACACCCCAATAAGATTTAGTGAAACCATCCTATTTTAGAATACAGTGTTTCACATGTTAACATATCTGAAATTAACATGCATTTTATATTGGAGAGCACCATGTAATTGTTATTGACCAGACATATTCATAAGAAATGTTGTATCACCAACATTAAAAAAAAAAATGTATTGTGGTAAGAACACTTAACAGATCTCCCCTCTTAAGAGGACAGTACAGTACTGTTAAATATAGGCACAGTGTTAGACAGCAGACCTCTAGAACTTTTTCAACTTGCATGACTGAAACTTTATACCTGATTAACAACTCCCCATTTCCCCTTCCCCAGTTCTAACAACCATTATTCTACTCTTTGCTTCTATGGGTCTGATTAGTTTACATATCTCACGAGTGGAATCATGCATTTGTCTTGTGACTTAGCTTATTTCACGTAGCATAATTTCCTCAAGGTTCATTTATGTTGTCACATATTGCAGGATTTTAAGGCTGAGAAATATTCCATTGTATGTATATACCACATTTTCTTTATCCATTCTTCCACTGATAGACATTTAGGTTGTTTTCACACCTTGGCTATTCTCAGTAGTGCTGCAATGAACATGTGAGTGCTAATATCTGTTTGGGATCCTGATTTCAATTCCTTAGTTTAAATGCCCAGAAGTGAGCTTGCTGGGTGACAGGGTAGTTCTACAGTTTTGCTGAACCTCCAAACTGTTTTTCACAGCAGCTGCACCACTTTACACTTCCCCCAACCGCGTACAAGTGTTTCAGTTTCTCCACATCCTCACAAATACTTCCTGTCTTTTACTTTTTTGATAATAGCCAACAGGTTTAAGGTAGTATCTCACTGTGGTTTTGATGCATTTCCCTGATGACCTGTTAGCCATTTGTATGTCTTCTTTGGAGAAATATCCATTCAAGTCATTAGCCTACTTTTTAATCTGATTATTGTTTTTGTTTTGCTATCGCCAACATTCTTTTTTTTAAAATATATTTTATTGATTTTTTACAGAAAGGAAGGGAGAGGGATAGAGAGTTAGAAACATCAATGAGAGAGAAAGTACATGCCCTTGACTGGAATCGAACCTGGGACCCTTCAGTCCGCAGGCCGACGCTCTATCCACTGAGCCAAACTGGCCAGGGCATCGCCAACATTCTTAATGTTTATTGTGAAAAAATACAGACTACAACTTTGAATCAAAAAATAACATACAAAGCCCTGGACAGTTGCACAGTGGTTTAGAGCATCAGCCCTTGGGTTCAATTCCCAGTCAAGGAACTACTAGTGGTGGGAAGCGGCTAATTGATGTGTCTCTCTCAGGTGAATGTTTCTCCCTCTTTCCCCCCTCTCTTCCCTCCCTTCCACTCTCTATAGAAATCAATGGAAAAAAATATACTCTAGTGAGGAATTAAAAAAAAAAAAAACCAACAACATAGAATAATTGGACTAAATGTGGAACTTTAGGAATACCATATTTAAATTGGCTAATTTTCCCCTTTTAATGTATATTCAAAATATGATAAAAATTTGTTTATCTACACCTAAAAGATATAAGTATAAAATAAAAAATCTAAATAAGAATGTATTGTGTCAGTTTAACAGAAAAAGTTTTTTTCTTAGCAATTCATAAATTGATAGTATACCATATGATCAACGGTTGACATTTAAATTATACTGGTGGCTTTAAAAAGCAATATGGCAGTATCAAAGGCAAAAAAAAAAGTGCACATTCAAGAAACCCAATAATCTACTTCCAAGAATTCATCCAAATGAAAGTATACAACAACAAAAGACTATATACACAAGATATATATGATGTCATTCAAGAGCAAACAAGAAAAAAACTATCACAGTATTTAGCAATGGTGAACTGGTTATAGAAATTATGACACAATAATTAAATCAATAGAGTACTGTAACATTAAAAATTAAGAAAATTATTTAGACTTGTGCTATGGACATGTCCAAAACTGTATAAGGAACACTGGTAAGTTTATTCAGTAGTGGGTTTTCTTCAAGTAACATATACTCATACTTTACTTGAGGACCTGACAAAACCAAAAAATCCAAAACTCAATTGGAGATCCCAGATGACAGTAGAGTAGATGGAAGTTACACTTACCTCCTCCTAGGACCAAACTGGAACTACAACTAAATTATAGAACAAAGTGAATAACCAACTACATCAACCTAAAAAGTTTTTGTGGCCCTAGCCGGTTGCTCAATGGTTAGAGCATCCGCCCACAGACCAAAGGGTTGAGGGTTCAATTCCTGGTCAGGGCACATACACATCAATGTTTCTCTCGGGAAAAAAAAAAAAAAAAGCATATCCTCGCGTGAGGATTTAAAAAAAAACAAAGAAACAAGTTACTGAATAATACATACAAAATAATACCATGTATATAAAGTTCAAAACGTACAATATAGTATAGGAATATATGTCTAATAAAACTACAAATAAAAGCAAGCAAATGATAAAGTAAGAATAGAAGAGAGGGGAACACTATTAGGAGGAGCATTCTATTACTAAGTACATACAGTATTTTAAAGATATAACTCTAATCCTGTATTTGCTAAGGCAGATGAAAAAAAAATACAGGGGTGGTTTTATTATTACTATTTTAATTCTTAGCATTAGTATTACATTTCCTTGTATGTTTGAAATACTTTATAAATTTAAGAATTTTGTGTCCACTATAAAAACTATCTGAAAAAATGTATCTACATGTGAACAAAAAATATGATATATAAAAAAATAAACTTTGTATTAGGGCAACAGGATTTGGGGTAATATTTTCCTCATATGAACATTTTCTTTAGTATCTTTTACAATGAACATTATTTTTAAACCACTTTTAAATACTATGTATGGCAAGCACCCACCTGATCACTAAGCAAAGGCTGGTTTCCTCCTTGATACAAAACATCACAAAGCATGTCCACATCATTATTCAGTTTGGACAGAAAGAAAGAATGTTCTTGAGCAGATACTGCCAATTGATCTTGTACTAAAGAAACATCCTGTTTTAATTTCTCAGCCACTTCCTCCAGGTTTTCATGGGTTATAAACAATTCTTTTTTCTTATTCTCTCCTTCTAAAAGCTGATGAAGCCTAAAATGTGAAAATAAAAATTAGAGAAAGAAACCCTAAAGTCAGTATAGTTTTCAAAATTACAATCCACTGTATGGGGACATCTTTTGGGATAGCTAACAACTTAAAAAAATATTAATCTGTCTGCTGTTACACCAAGCAACTGAAAATATTCCAACTAAAATACTATTTCGCCAAGCCAGCGTGGCTCAGTGGTTGAGTGTCGACCTATGAACCAGGAGGTCACGGTTTGATTCCCAATTCTCGGTCAGAGCACATGCCCCAGTTGCGGAGGGAGAGGGGGGAGGGTTCAGCAGTAGGGGGCATAAAGGAGGCAGTCGATCAATGTTCTTTTAGCATCGGGGTTTCTATCTCTCTCTCTAAAATCAATAAAAACATTTTTTTAAGTAAAATGTTTAAAAAGTAAACAACAAAGAGGTACAGAAATAGTAATAGCAAACTTGCTACTTTAGTCTTAATGAGCCAGGAGGCCACTTTACCACTTCAAACATTAATGGCAGGAAAATCCTACTGGGCAAGTGGAAAAATGAGAGACAGCACTTCATATCTGACCAAAAGGGTCTGCTCTTTTCCTTATAATTTTATATATATACTAGAGGCCCAGTGCATGAAATTCATGCAGGGGGGTCCCTCAGCCCAGCCTGTGCCCTTGGGCCTAAACCGGCAGTCAGACATCCCCCTCGCAATCTGGGACACTGCATGCACCAGTGACCATACTTTTCATACAGGTGAAAGGCATCTTGCTGTTGTATGGGCAGCTACATTATTTTGCCCTGATTATAAAAAGTAGTACATAACATGATCCTTCTGAGGCAGTAGTACCATTTTCCCCTTCTTATGGGTAGAAAAACTTAAGCAGAGAGAAGTTAAGTAATTGGCTTTGTCACACAGTTGTGTCAGAATCAGGGCTGACCACAAAATGTGCAAGCCAGAGTCCATGCATGTCATCG